TTCATGGATTCCCACAAATACCTGTCACATACATAACCCACAGGGACCGACTTAGCAAGAGTGATATACTACACGCTTTCTTGAGAGCAGGTCGAAGGAAATAAACACTGCTGAATGCCTGTGTGTATTGGTGTAAGGGAGCAAGAATTGGTACAGCCACAGCAAAGGCAACTCTGTACATTAGCTTCATTAAACAAGAAATATGAACTACAAGAAAACCGAGAGTTAAGGAAACACAAGATTTCGGGGTCAGGGGCAGAGCTTCCTCTAGTTCATTCTACTCTCATTTACAAGCGGAAATTGCTCATACCTCTAAAGATGCAGTTACCGTAGTAACAAGAGGAGAACCCAAAGAAATGCTGCCGCCTGGTGGCCACTTTTGGGGGCAGCAGCCATAAACCTTAGGCTGATAGACACTGATTATTCACTAGGCAACTAGGCTCTAAATGACACCTACCCTTACAAAATGGCCAGGGGTAGCACACCGAAATAAAAACAAGAACACACCACACGATAAGGAAGGAAACTTCAACAGGTAAATGCCAGTCAATGCTTAGAAAGAAGCCTCTGGAAATGTGCCTCATTTGCTTCATTATCAGTGATACGAAAAATTAAACTGCAATGCAATAGCACTAGTGAGAAACCAAACAGGCCATTATCCAAAGCTCTATAGACAAGAAAGAGTAGAGCAATATTAGTAAAGCATCCCTTATATGCCACTGGTGGTAGATAAGCGACCAGAACATTCATGGGTAAGACTGTCAAAATGCCCTGGAATCACAAAATGGGACACATGATATCATGTGGTGGTTCCAATCCCAGAGCATTTGAGAAACCAACAGATCATGGAAAACATGCCCACACCCCCACGCCCACAAAAATGCACTTCAGCAGCATTCACAATGCCCAAGAGATGAAAGGAAAGAGAATCGTGGGCTGAAAACGAAAAGAGAAAGAAATTGGACATAGAGCCACAATGAAATATGACTCTGACATTATGAAAATGCAAAAAATGCCATTTTCAGGGATATGTAGAAATCTAGAGTGAATCACAGTAAGCAAAGGAGGGCAGATTAAAGACAAATCACAACATATACCTTCCAGAGGGGATTAAAAAACATATTGATGGAGATGAGTACCCAAACAAAAGGGAAATGGACTTGTGTACCTGGTAACAGTTAGCAAAGGGTATCGGTGGGTGAGAGGCCAAAAGGTGAAGACTGGAATAAAGTTGTACCCACAAATGCCTATGCAATTCATAGTCCACATGGACCTCCTGTATCAAGAGACATGTCCTCAACAGATTCTAAAAGATAGCTATGATAATAATCACAGTTGAATACCTCCAGGTATCCGAGGAAAGGAAGGAGAAAATGTTTCCCTGCAATGACTACAATGGTGTGAAGAGTCTTAAATAAGAAATAAAGTTAGACTTAAAGACAAACTTCAAAGGCTAAAGAGACAAAAGCTTTTGGTGTCATCCTGTGCCTCATTCTACTCTTATTTACAACCAGGCCTGGAATAACCTACGAGGCTTCTGTTACCATAGGAACAAGAGGAGGGAATGAAAAATGCTGCCACCTTGTGGACATTTTCTCTAATAGCAACCTTAAAATGCTTGCTGATGGTCACACTACTCACAACGGTGCTGAGTTCCAACTGATATCCACCCTTAACAAATTTCCAGGGCTCACAGAGGGGAAAATTAATACAGTAAACACAGGAGAAGCTAACAGGAAGAGGATATGAGCAGGTAAACACAATTCCATGTTTTTTATAAAAGCACATGACAATGGGCACATAGGGTGAATTCTGAGATACAAACATCTAAGCTGCGAGGACATTATCACCTCTGCCTGAGCATGGAAAAAGGCCACTGTCAAATGCTGGACATGGCATCAATGGTAGAGTAGCATTAATACAGTGGATGCTTTAGGGTACTTGGGGGATGGACATGGTAAGAGCCACTATGACCATGACTAGAAAAGTGCACTCCCATGAGAGAAAAATAAATAAATAAAGAGGTAGAGACAGTACGATAAATCAGATCCTCTCCTGGAGTATTTCAGACATGAACAGATTTCGAACACCACCCACCCCAAAATGGAGTCTGCCACACCATTCAGAACATCAAAAAGATGAAAGTTCATATCGTGTTCCTGGACAGAGGAATGGATAAAGAAGTGTGATATAGGCCTGGAATGAATTTTGAATCAAGGATTAAAATTTGAAAGTAGGCCATATTCAGCAATAGAGATAAATCCAGAGATCATCACACTGAGTGAAGGAGCAATTCAAGAAACATCATGGGATATAATGGAGTTTTGGGATACAAAAATCCACTGCAGTGAGCACCCACACAAATGTGAGGTGAACATCCAACCTGGCAAGAAACTTATGGGTGGCTGAGCACCTTGGTGGATGGAAGGGATACATCTGGAACTTGGTATGAATTTCTTCCCACAGATACATATGAAATACAAAATCCATGTAAATCTATTGCAGCGAGAGTGGTAGATGAAACAATTTCCAATAATATGTAGGGAAAAGCAAGCACAGCTGAATACATAGAGTAGTCTCAGTGTCTCAGAACAAGAATCTGTACATGTAAAACCTACTCATCCTTGACTTCAACTTAAAGAGAATAAGAACATTTACTTCAGAGATCCAAGAGTGAGGAGACACCAGGTTTGGTGGCATCCTCTGGCTTGTTCTACTCAAATGTACTTCCAGGCCTGATAAAAACTCTTAGGCAGAACAGGCCATTTTAAAAGAGGAGCGAATAATAAAGCCTTGCAGCAAGGAGGGTTTTCTCTGTATCAGCAGCCTTAAAACTATCACTGATGGACATGTGATACTCACAAGGTCCTATTGCTGGACTCGACATGACACCTACCCTTGAACATGACAGGAGTCACTCATCCAAAAAAAAAAAAAAAAAAGTGAAAAAGACAATCCAGGACACTCTCAGGAAGAAAACATCAACAGTTAAATACAGCTCAAAGTGCTTTTAAAAAAACTAAAACATAATCACTTAATATTCCCAAGGCTGCTGGGCTTTAAATAATATCTGTTTTTCAAAAATTGCTAGCAGTCTCCTGTGAATGAAAAATGTCAAAGAGCACACCTTATCTGGAAGCAAATATCAACAGGTAAATACAATTCTCAGTATTTCTTTAAAAACACATGAAATATGCTCATTATAGTGAATTACTGTGAACTCTTTCGAGTTCATCTCTTTGTGATCCCAGAGACCATAGCCCACCAAGTTCTTCTGTCCATGGAATTTTTCAGGCAAGAATTCTGGAATGAGTTGTCATTTTCTCCTCCAGGGGATCTTCCCAAATCGCATCTCCTTTGACTCCTGCCTTTGTAGGAGGATTCTTTATGACACTGTCAGCTGGGAAACCCAGTGTATTATTAGAGATATACAAACTATACTAACGAGGTATCACCTCTGAGTAGTGAAAAAGTATCAAATAGTATACCAAGATATGGTAGAGAAACATTTTTAAAGGGGAATCTTTATGGTACTAGCCGGGTATATTTGGTAGGAGCCATTATAAACGTCACTACAAAGTGCCTTGTAAAGAACACAAGAGACTGACCATATGATCTGGCAACTCCACTCCTAAGAGTATTTAAGAAAAAAACAAAACAGATTTTGAAAAACACATGTAAGCCAATCATGTACTGCAGTAAGATTAACAACATCCTATACATGAAAGTCAAGAAACTGATGCAGCCACTATTGAAAACAGTAAACATTTCTTTTACAATTAATTTTTAGATTTTTATTGAAGGATAACTGCTTTACAGAATTTTGTTGTTTTCTGTCAAACCTCAACAGGAATCAGTCATATGTATACATATATCCTCTCCCTTTTGAAACTCCCTCCCAACTCCCTCCCCGGTATAGAGATTTTTAAAACCTCTAAAAATACAGTTACCATATGATCCAACAGTCTCACTACTCAGAATATATCCAGTAAGATGAAAATTCCCATCATAAAAGTGATATGCACAACAGTGTTTATAGTAGCAGAATGTACAGTAGCAAAGACATGGAAACAACCTTAAATGCCCATAGATAGGTGAATGGATAAAGACAGATATATTATGCATAAAATCAAATATTAGCCATAAGAAAGAATGAAATAATGATATTTGTTTTCAACATGGATGGACCTAGAGATGATCATACTAAATAAGTCAAACAGAGAAAGACATGAGGAGCTTAGGTGGGTTCAGCTCACCTTGACACTTCCTTTGGACCTCAGTTGATAGGTCTTCATCCTTTCCTCCTTGGTATCTAGAGTTGGCTGTTCCATAACAGCTCTAGAGCTTTGTGGCTTCCCAGTCACCTTAGTCATTCTGAAGACTCCCAGTGGTCTGCTCCAGAGCCCCTGAGCACCCCTATATATACCCCTCCATAGGGGGCCACACCCTTATGCTTTATGAGGTCAGCAAGTCACTTCCCCAGCCAGTGGTGGCCCTGGGTGAGCCTTGATATCACAAAGCCCCATCCTGATACCTCTAGGGGAGGATGGGGAGCAATTCAGACAGAGTTGGCCCCCTCCCGATTCTTTAACCACACCCTCTAGCTTCCTAGAGTTTTGGGCAATTATTTAAATTTCTTCTTTTACATGATCTTTGCCAGAAGCTTAAAAGGGAAAATTTACATAACTTTCTTTGTAGTAAAATTCCTGCATGGCTGAATACACAATAAACAAGGAATTATAAAATGACAATTGAAAAATATTTGGAAGATAGCTGACAAAGGACTCATTTACCTCATTTATGCAGAGTCCAAAGTTAAAATAACAAAAGAAGATGAAAAACCCAATAGAAGAGGATCGTTAAATAAACCAGGGTACAGAGAAATACCTAGAAAAAAATTACCGAAAATCAGGAAGAAATGTGGAACCTAATTGGTAATAAAAGAAATGCAAACCAAAGCAATAATGGAATACAATTTCTCACCATGTAAATTGTCAAAGTTCAATAGAAATCTGAAAAATATCAAATTTTTCCTCCAAATTGAGGATGAAGAATTGGAAAATGAGTGTTTCAGCAGTGATGTGAAAGCATAGTGTGATGCAAATTTCTGAAGGACAATTTGACATTATCTAGTAAATTTATAATTGCATGGAGCCACTTATTAATACCCTGTTTGGAATTTGCATGGCAAACATATTTCTGTAATATCACCAAGATTATATATCTAATGCTCACTGCATTTTCCCCCATCATCCTAGAGAATCGCTTTAGTACACTTCCCCACACTGTCCTTCCTCCATGCAACCCCTGTTCTCAGTTCTATTAGTTTAGATTATTTTGCTTCATCTAGAACTTCCAGTTAATGGAGCCTACACTATGTACACATGTAGTTGCTTAACAAGGTTGTGTTACTTTCTGCTGTACTGCAAAGCATATCAGGCATGTGTGTGTATAAACATAACCTCTTTTTTAAATTTCCTTCCAACTAAGGTCACCACAGAGCACTGAGGACAGTTTCTGTGCTACACATATACATATGAGTGAATACATTTGGATTTTATAAATTACATTCGTTAGCATTTTTCTGTTTCTCCTTGAGAGGGCATCATATGCATAGGAAACATTTATTCATACTCACATGTACATATAAAAGAATACATTGACATTTTTTGAGTTGTATTCATAAGTATTCTTCTGTTTCTCCAAAAGACGAAGCATAAGCACAATAAATATTTATTCACACCCATATATACTCTGGAGAGTCCCTTGGATTGCAAAGAAATCAAACCAGTCAATCCTTAAGGGTGTTATTCCTGGATATTCATTGGAAGGACTGATGCTGAAGCTGAAACTTCAATTCTTTGGCCATCTGATGTGAAGAACTGACTCATTGGAAAAGTCCCTGATGCTGGGAAGGATTGAAGGCAGGAGGAGAAGCGGATGACAGAGGATGAGCTGGTTGGGTGGCATCACCCACTCGATGGACCTGAGTTTGAGCAGGCTCAGGTAGTACGTGATGGACAGGGAAGCCTGGCATGCAACAGTCCATGGGGTCACAGAGAGTTGGATACAACTGAGCAACTGAAGTGAACTGACTGACATATGCATATAAAATCCTAATACAGACTCAAAATGGATGTACTATACCAAGAGTGGTTTACTACACACCTTTTAATAATATATCTGGGAAAATAAGCATAGACGAATATTTCTATGTATGGTTCAAAAGATACCAGAATATGTACAGCTACAACAATAAAGCCATTTGAGTCAACATGCATGGACCGAGAGATGATCATAGTAAGTGAAATGAGGCACACAGGGAAACACAAGTACCAAATGATATCATTTAAATGTGGAATCTAAGATAAGACATAAATGAACATATGTATGAAACAGAAACATACTCATGGACATAGAAACAGACTTATGACTTCCAAGGCAGAGAGAATTGGGGGAGAAATGGAGTAAGAGATTGGGGTTAAGAGATATAACTAGAGTATATGTAATGGATTGACAAGTTCCTACTGTAGAGCACAGAGAACTATATTCAGTATCCTATGATAAATCGTAATGAATATATATATATATATATAATATATATATATATATAATATATATATATACACACATACATATATATGGGACTTCCCTGGCATTCTAGGGGTTAAGACTCCAGACTTCCACTTCAGGGGATGCAGGTTCAAATCCTGGTCAGGGAACTAATACCATTTGCTGCAGGGTGTAGCAAAAAAAAAAAAAAAAAAGATCAAATAAAAGAATGTGTATATATATATAGATCCACACACAACATATATATACACACATATATATGTATAATTGAATCACGTCGCTGTAAAGCAGAAATTAACACAACATTGTAAATCAGCTATACTTCACTTAGAAAGTAGCATGACTGGGGAAATAAAAATTGCTATATTTCATTGTGTGTAAAGTTAATATCCAAAGAAAATTTCTGTAAACAAACACATCTCACTACTTAATGGCAGGCTTGCTGAGATACTTGGAGAGACACATACTGATGTCTGCAATTTACCACAGAATGCACAAAGGAAAAAGATTGATTGTTGATTGTATAGAGGGATGGACAAATGGATAGATAGATGACAAAGTAAGTATTGTAAAATGCTTACAAAATCAGACCACTATATATGCTGTTTAAAAGAAACCCTCCTCAAACCAAGGGACATATACAGATTGAAAGTAAAGGGCTGGAAAAAGTTGTTTCATGCAAAAGGTGAGCAATAGAAATTAGGAGTAGCAATACTCATATAAGTTAAAATAGACTTTGAAATAAAGGACATAAAAAGAGACAAAGAAGGCCACTACATAATGATCAAAGGATCAATCCAAGAAGAAGATATAACAATTATAAATATATATGCACCCAACATAGGAGCACCTCAATATGGAATGCAAATGCTAACAAGTACGAAAGGGAAAATTAACAATAACACAATAATAGTGGCAGACTTTAATACCCCACTCACACCTGTGAATAGATCAACCAAGCAGAAAATTAGCAAGGAAACACAAACTTTAAATGATACAATGGAGCAGTTAAACCTAATTGATATCAAAATGACATTTCACACCAAAACAATGAATTTCACCTTTTCCCCAAGTGCACACAAAACATTCTGCAGGATAGATCACATCCTGGGCTATTAATCTAGCCTTGTTAAATTGAAAAAAAATCAAAATCGTTTCAAGCATCTTTTCTGATCACAATGTGGTAAGATTAGATGTCAACTACAGGGGGAAAAACTATTAAAAATACAAACATATGGAGGCTAAACAACATACTTCTGAATAAGCAACATATAAGAGAAAAAATCAGAAAAGAAACCAAATATGCATAGAAACAAATGAAAATGAAAACACGACAACTGAAAACCTTTGGGATTCAGTAAAAGCAGTGCTAAGGGGAAGGTTCATAGAAATACAACCTTATCTTAAGAAACAAAAGAAAAGTCAAATAAAGGACCCAACTTTACACCTAAAGCAACTAGAAAAAGAAGAAGTGAAGAACCCCAGGGTTAGAAGAAGGGAAGAAATCATAAAAAGTAGGGCAGAAATAAACGAAAAAAAAAATCAAAAGAGACTATAGCAAAAATCAACAAAAGTAAAAGCTGGTTCTTTGAGAAGATAAATAAAATAGGCAAACCATTAGCCAGACTCATCAAGAAATAAAGGGAGAAGAATCAAATCAACAAAATTAGAAATGAAAGTGGAGAAATCACAGCAGACAACACGGAAATGCAAAGGATCACAAGAGACTACTATCAGCCGCTATATGACAATAAAATGGACAACTTGGAAGAAATGAACAAATTCTTAGAAAAGTTTAACCTTCCAAAACTGAACCAGGAAGAAATAATCTCAACAGACCCATCACAAGCATGGAAATTGAAACTATAATCAAAAATCTTCCAACGAACAAAACAGAGCTGAGGACCAGACAGCTTATTCACCCTCATGGTTACCCTGGCCACCTGGAGAAAACAAGAGAGGGAGAACAGAACGGCATTTGTTTGAGGAAGAGGGTGAAGATGGATGGGAATGATGGCTTCAGGAGAAGGAGTATGGCCAGAGAAGGGCTATGTGCCAGGCAAGGACAGGGGAGGGGGTCTCATGGGGCAGTGTCAACTGGCAAGAGGAGCTTGGGTGGGTTCAGCTCATCTTGACACTTTTGTGGACCTCAGTTGACAGGAGGTTTTCATCTTTTCCTCCTGGGTATCTGCAGTCGGCTGTTCCATAACTGCTCTAGAGCCTTGTGGCCTCTGAGTCACCTTAGTCATTTTGAAGACTCCCAGTGGTCTGCTCCAGAGCCCCTGAGCTCCCCTATATATACCCCTCCCCAGGGGTTCACACCCTTATGCTTTATGAGGTCAGCAAGTCACTTCCCCAGCCAATGGTGAGAATTGACATCACAAGGCTCAATCCTGACACCTCTAAGGGAGAATGGGGAACAACTCAGATGATTTGGTGGGAGATTTGGTGGGTGAAATAAGGAATTTTTAATGCCTCTAAAGAGCCCTCCAAACTCACCTGCCATACTCATCTCTCTAAGTCAACTCTGTGGATCACAAGGCAGGGCGAGTGTGTCTCCTCCAAACCTTCCCTACAGCCATAGTATTCAGGCTCTGATTCTGTTCTCTCTCATATTTCACCATTATCTAGTTTTTAATATCTTGCCTAAAATCCTTCCATGATAATTAGGCTATACTGAAGTGTCTGTGGAAATGAGAATCATTCCACTTTCCTCCTACAAGGTGGTCTTAAAGCACCTTGAAGACCATTTAAGTCTGGGCCACCTACCAGAAACCTTTTCCATCCACCTCCTTTTCCCAGTGTTCACCTATCTCTCCTCAGTCTTGCAGTTTCCAGTCTGAAAGCACTGTCTTCAGTCTGTGAGACTGCACTGAATACATTTGCCCTTTCTCCACGTGGAGCTCTCTTGCTTCAAGTCTAGGACTCATGGTCACCTCACTATGTGTAAAACAGGTTTACCCAAAGATATGCACATGAATGTTCATAGCAGTCTTATTTCTAATAGTCAAAAAGTTGAGATGAACAAGATGGCAGAACAGTAGCTGGACATGGAGTACATTTCTCTCCACAGATACATCAGGAATACACCCTCAGACACAGAAATGCTTGCAGAACACCAGCTGAGACCTGACAGGAGTACGTGACCAGTGGAAAGGAATATATAGAACCACAAAATTTGGTAGGATGAAAGAACTAGGGGGAAAAACAGGAGTGTTAATAGGCCTGGACCTGCCCTCGGTGGGTGGGAGAACTGAAGTCGGTGTCCGATCCCCACATGGGAGCAACTGTCTGGATCAGAGGAGAAATATTTTAGGCTGAGAGTGAAACAACTGATCTGTGGTGGCCTAAATGGAATGAGAATCAGACAGTCCTTGCCACAGTCACACACACTGCAGACAGGGACACAGGTCCCCTAGAAGGCAAAGCAGTTGGGAGTTGGAGTTTGGGGATTGTGGAGCAGCCCCAGGGTGAGGGCTGCTGTTGACTGCAGAGAGACGGACTGATAGGATGTGAGGGA